ATACAACGTCTGGCCCAAGACAGGATTTGAACCCATGACCTTACGGTTGCGAGTCTGAGGAGAGAGAGCCTAACCACTTGCCTTAGCTATCGACGCGACTAGATACATTTTTACACACTGGCAGGCAGAGATGTTTTAGTTTTAGTAAGAGTTTTGCGGCACTTGCAACACAATAAGGTCATATTAGTGTCGAAGAATAGATGTGTTACAAGAGAGTAGAGAGTAACATACACAAAAGAGAAGGAGGAGAGATAAGGACGATAGATGTTTGATAGGAAAGAAGAGGCAAACCACACTAGAGCCCCCGCCAACCACCCACCTTACAAGCTGTCCACGGTAGCTTACCTCAGCACAGAAAAACCTCTCATCTTTCAGGCTACCTATACAACAAGAGCACAGTGGGGAAAACCACACAACAAAATTATTGATATTTTTTATATATATATTTTTTTTTTAAACATCAGCACCCAGCATCTTTTCCCTCACCTCTTTCTTTTCTTTTCTTTTTCTTTTCATTCTTTTTTTCGTTTCCCTTTCTCTTTGCTTTTGTTTTTTCTTTTTGAGGGAAAATCATTCTTTGACAAATTCAGATCAATCTGAGAGAGCATTTTTTTTCTTCTCAGAATGGTTCTCTTTTCAGTTTCTTCTTCATGTTTTTTTGTCTTCTCTTTGTTCCAATATTTTCATGGGCAATGCCTCTTTGAATCAAGCAAAAACACAACAGAAAAATGGAAAAATTCTGCCAAAAACAGTCAAAACTCTCCAAGCTGCCATTCATTTTCAACAGTGCAGCAGATTTTTTTTTTTTGTGCTGCACAATGTATTTTTTTTTTTACTTTCTTCTTTCTTTCGGCAGCTAATTTTTTTTCTCCAGTAGTAGGGTAACCGTGATGATTTTTTTTTCCCTTTTTTTTTTTTCAAATTCACATTGTTCTTTTTTCCAGGAGAGTTTTGTCTTTTTTTTTCCTCAAATCTTTCTTTTTTTTTTTCTACAAAGTTTAAGAACAAACAACATGATTAAATCTAAACCACTTTTATTTCAAGCAGGAAAAAAAAGGGGAAAATTCTGATTTCTGTCGCCTTGAGCTAAGGCTTCAACTTACTTCAAGATTTCCTCTGAAATGAAAACAACACAAAGCATGACCAAGCTAACTCAACTGACCATTTGATCTCCACTGTACAATCAAGTTTCTTACATTTATATTATATAAATATAACAAAACAACCATGATTTTTCCAAAACTTTAGTCCACAAAACATCATGTACATGTACCACTAAAAAAAGAAAGAAGAAGAAGAAGAAGAAGAAGAAGAAGAAGAAGAAGAAGAAGAAGAAGAAAGAAGAAAGAAAAGAAGACAAAGAAAAGTTGGGTAGTTTTGTAACAAAAACAATCAAATGCATCAAAGTAGCAAGTAGCTCAAAGTAGCGTAATAACGAGTGGTAAAAAACTGAACGACATCACAGTTTTCACAGAACGCACTTCCAACATCCAGCCACATCCGCACAACAGAGCACAGGTCAGTGACCTCAGCCCTGCCTCGACTACATCTCTACAACAGGGGAAATCTCCATTTTTCTTCCTACAGAACAGTTTAAATATTCATCTAAAAAAAAGAACTAATCTCATTATATTCATAAATTGAAACACCTCGCCTCTGAGCTCATAAGTCTTGACTTTCCTGCTTAGGCATCAATTTTTACATTGTCAAGTCAAGTAAGACCAAGCAGAATAGAAAAACTACAAAAGGACATGTAATTGTCCTGTGCTCCCCCATCCCCCAAATAAACAAACAAAACTAGATCTATGTAGTAAAGACCTCACTACACGTGGAATAGTAGGCCTATTGAAAAACGTAAACCCGCCAGCCTTCTGTCCACTTGGAAACAAGTTCTAGGTGAGATTCACTTCATTGACTTACGAGTGAGAAGAGATGATCCCCCCCCCCCCCCCCCCCCCGTGTATACCGTAGTATACGGCACTACAGAAAAAAAAATCCAAATTGAGCAGCAGCAAAAACTTTCCCATCAAGGCCATGATCGAAAACAGCTTAGTCAAAAATAGCAGCCGCTAAATAGATCAACAGTCTTCATAACCATAATGACTTTGAAGAGAAGTAACAATCTTCAAGCTCTTAACTAACCTTACAATTCTTTGCTATATCTACAGGCTGAAAGGCTAGAACCCAGATGGCTGCTGGATCGGAAAAGTAAAGTAAAAAAAGTAAAGTAACTAACCTTACAGAGTTGCAAAGGGCATTTCAGTTAAACCAATACAATTTCACAAGCTTCGAATCTACAAACACTGCAGCCAATGTCCTTCACCTTGTCAAAGCAAAACAAAAAATCCAAAAAGCATTAAAAAAATACAAGAAGTAGGTCAACACAAACAGAGTCCACTAAGTACAAGTTGACCGCTCGGTGAAACATTGCGTCACATGTCACGTTTTAACCCTTCCAGCCCCAGCCATGTCTGCGCACTCCCTTACCTCAGTCCCAGCCAATACAGCAGTATTTCAGAAAAAGAGGCATGCATGCTAAAAAGTGATGCAGTATCTTTGTAATGAGGTTTAGATAATAACAGATAACAATGTTTAAAGGTAAAAGAACAACTATTATGAAAATGAACCTTTCATTAGATTTGCTAATTTAGAAAAAATGCGCAAATTCGGTACCCCCTCCCCCCGAAACTGAGCATATATATGCTCTTGGGACTGTGGGAGGTAGGCCTACAAGCGCTGCTGAAAATATACGCACATGGGGCTGGGTGGGTTAAAACGGCGTATAGCAGAGTCTTACACATAAGCAGTTGATTTGTAGTCATCGATTAGAAACAGCTCAACAAATTAGCTGACACATCACAACAACAGCTCAATAAAAAATATAACATTTCAGTTGGCAGTGTAGGGTTAACAAGAATTTTTTAAAGAAAGGAAATTTTACATGGCTGTTTAACACATTACACCCTGGGCTCGCCCTAGAATTTCCCTATATGTGCTCCACCCTAACTCGCCCAGAACTGCCCGCTCCGACCAGGCGTCTTTAGAAACGAAGTCTCGCATTGACGAGACTGGGGCAGAGATTTCGTTTTACATAGTTATTGTAAAATGTTTCTTCTTCTGTTTGATACCAAAACGAAATTTTTCGGACCAGTAGTTTTAGTATTAGAAGCCGATCGAAGTACGATCGCGTTTCCAACACTTCGAAGTTGTCTCAACTTGTTGAAAAGCAACACAATTGAGTTTGAAAAAGAAAATTATGGGTTTGAGCAAGAACAAGCAAATGACAAAGATGGATCAGATATTGATTAAATTGTTGTAGCTAGAGTCTGGGGTGATTCCGATTAATCATCTGTAGAATTTAGATCTAGTACCAGACCGTGAGGCTGAGACTGCTGAGAGTGAAAGTGACGGGTCGGACAAACTGAATAAAGCTTAAACTTTTCCAACAGTTCGTGCATATACAAAGTTATATTCTTCTGAAACTACATCCATTTCTCTTTCGAACGATCATTTTTTTCAGATCGCTGGAATGTGTTTAGTATTTCTAAAATTTGTTTTTTAAATATTTGTATTCACGGACGGTTGGATCCTTCCCCTTGCTTAGGAATTGGGAACAGACTTCCCATCCAGACCCTTAGGGTATAATGTGTTAAAAACAGATAAACAGACAAAAACAGGACAACAATCTTGTCAGTGTACTCCCCCCCCCCCCAAAGGAACTTTGACGTCACCATTATTAATAATACTTGGCTGGACATTCATTTCTCGCCCGAAAAAAATGTAGTCCTATCATTCAAACTTCCTTTCCAAGAACACACAAAATGTCAAATGAAAAGGTAAGCACACTGAACACCTCAGAGCATTCACACTTCAGACATAAAACTGTCCAGTAATGAGCAACAATGATCTGATGAGACCAGTGACTAGAAATATCAGATGGTCACCAAAAAATGCAAATTCCACCACCAAATTCCCCATGTCTAGAGCAAGACAAAAGAATAGGAAACAGCCTGTGAGTAATTCAAACTACATGTATACGTCGGTGTTATGGGAATTTTTCTTTGATCTCTTCACTAATGCTAGCTTAAGTGAGCAAAAATTTCATTGGACTCCCCCTACCCCTCGACCTTCTGCTTGTTTCCTTTGAGTACAGAGGAACTGAGAGAAGCACATTCGACACAATAACGGTCACTAAGTGCAGGGGAAGGGTAAGACTAAGTGTACACAGGCAGGATCAAAAGAAGGAAAGAAAAGAAGAAGGACCTACCAGTGGCACCCTCTAACTGCCCAGAATAACAAACATAAGTTTTAATTTCGATCCAAACTACATGTAATCCATTTTGCAACGTTCTGAAATCAGGATCTACATTTCATACTTTCTACAGCGTATTGGAAAACTGTTGAGAAAAAAACATTGGTAGAGTTGGTTCAAAGAGAAAAGGGCACAAGATACAGCGACCCGAAATGCCCTGTGATGAAGTGCGTGGGATGCTAGCGTATATTTCCAACTAGTTTTTGAAAAGGCATCCTGGCCTTGCCATCTCACACAAAAATGCAGAGGTTCCTAATAAACCATACCTATGTACAAATGTTTCTTTTTACAAGACACAACCCAACCCTGTGGGCTACATAAAGTGGGAATGATAGGAGGCTTGTTGCACAGATTATACCGCCATTTTCTCACCTATGGCGATAACCCTTGATATAAAAAAAAACAAACTAGCCACCCAATATCTCCTCACCCCCTCCCCCCCTCCTTCACCCTCTTAAAAAAAGGAGTGGAGCAGCAATGCACCAAGAGCAATAAGTTACTCATTAACCCTATCCGTATGTCGTGTTTTACTGTCGTATCCGTACGACGTGGGGAACTCTGTGCTACCACTTTCCAAAGAGGAAATTAACTCGTTAATCCGATCCGTACGCTTTGTAGAGCAGTCTGTCAAAATGACTCTTTGAGAAATACTGAACGTTTCAAAGAGATCTTCGTACTAGAGGTATATTCTAAAATGTGAAGAATACAACCCCGGGGGTACAAAATTACCTCACGGCGTACAGATAGGGTTAATGTTAAGTTTACGGTACATCCTGCAGTAACACATATAATAAGCAGACAAAGTATCAACTTCCACTTCTAACAAGCAAAGTACCAACATGCACTTATCATAAACCATAACTCCATCCCTCAGGACCAGGACCCGGCGTCCTCCGTGTAGTCCAGCGCTGTGTCCTCCAGGTTAGCCAGGTCCTCCTCGTCCTCCTCCTCCCCACCGACAGCACCAAACACATCCTCCCCCTCCTCCCCTCCCCCAAGCTCCGTGACGTCCCTTTCATCCTCCCGTCCCCCCACCCCGCCGGTATTCCCGCCCGCGTAGAGGGGCATGGCAGTGCCGGGCGTGGTGGTGTTGGACAGCGTCACCGTGATGTGGTCTTCCTCGTCTTCTTCATCGTCCGTGTAGCTGGCCTTGAAGTGCTCATCGCCCAGCAGCAGATCGTCGCTCATGCTGCGCATGTAGGAGACCGTCGTCGATGATTTCTCCTTGCCCATCCCCACCTCCGCCGCCACCGTCCCCGCGTTCTCCTCGATGACTGCCCGCGAGTCCCCGGCCAGAGAATCCAGACCCGTGTCCAGGTCGGCGTCCTGAGGAACTGCTTCCTGCTGCGAGCCGATGCTCAAGGTGGGTGTGCCCGTGCGGGACTTCTCGTCACCGCTCATACCCAGCAGCGACTCGTCGTCCAGGGAGCCCAGAGTGATGGACAGCTGAGACAGTCACAACATTTATTACCAGTAAGTCAGTTGTTTAAAAACAATTTCATTCAAGAAAATCAATGAACAGAGATTTCAAACAAACAAAAAATACATGTTTTGTTGAAAGTATTGAATGAAAACACAGGTGATTGAGAAATAAAGTAAAAAGAAGTTAGGCTCAGCGCTTGTGAGCATACTGAGAAAAACATAGAGAAAATAATGGTGAATATTATCACTGGGCACTGTTAGTTCATCAGAACATGGTGAAGAATTAAACTTGTTTAAAATCTTGAGAAAAAGAGCCAAACTTTGTGTATGGCGGGTGTTTGCACATTTATGATTTAGGTAATTGTCAGCCACAAAATTATTAAAGTCTGGAGGTAAATTGATCGCCCAGTGATCGAGGGTCAATTGTCACTTTTCAAAGTGGCATGTGGAGGAGTCTTACACTGGGCAGTCCAGATGTGACACACAATGTAGGAGAGTCTACAGGGCTGCCAATCCACCACCAGAAGCTTTAGTAACCAAAAAAAATATAAATTTAGTAATCTGGCTGTAAAATTGGAAAAATGGCTGTGGCACTTCGCGACTACAGAGGCTCAATGCAGAGAGGGTGTTAAAGGTTTGATCTGCAAGAAACGTGGGGACGCGATAACCGTCTGGGGATGGTAGTTTTTCTCTTCTTTTACACCAAGAATGTCTGCAGTGGTATGGGGTAGCTAAATGTTTGATAAAATCGAAATCAGGGGTACGATATTACAATTGTATTTTTGTAAATGCTGAATAAAAACCGTAACGATTCCGCCAAATTTGTAATGACGGGCAGCCCCGAGTCTACAAAATGAACTGGAAGCACCAATTCATTAGTCTTGAGGGGAAACAGATGTACTAAATATCTACACAAACTTACATCTTCATCCACCTCTGAGCTCTGTGTGGATTCTGTGCGGTCGATCTTGGGCGTGACCTGGTTCCATCGCACAACAAGCGTCTTCTGGTTGAACTTTGCCCCCTGCGACACAGCCTGCAAGACAGATAGACAACAACAGAATGAACAGAAAAGGAGGAAGGCCATACACACTTATCATTAGTCTCGACATAAACTTATCCATAATTCGCGTTTGCAGTTTTGAAAGGTGTCTCATTTGATGTGATCACAATAATCTGTCAGTGTCTCATTTCTATTATATCTGAACCCTTTGTACGTAATGCCGACAGTTCTGTCAAATGACATATATATATTATATATATATAAAATACTTCTTCAGAGACAGGATGAAAGGAAAATAGTAATAAAAATAATGACAATGACAATATAGTGCCCTTGTACTGCTGTTGAACTAGGCTCTATATACAAAGGAAAGAGGTAGAGGAATAATATAACATTACCCTCACAGAACTTACCATCTCGGCAGCTTGCCTTGTGGAGAATGTAAAGAATGCGCTGGGAACTTCCTCCTTAGGATCTACTTTGTCGATTTCCCCAAATTTCTGAGAACAGACAAAAGTACGTTTACGAATAAGAACACGCCAAACATCAGAAACTTGATTTTACTATGGTCACAAGTGTCTGTTACACTGGTTACTCCTGTACAAGCATACAATACTAATAAACAAATTCAAATGAAAAACCCAATAATTCCTGAAACGAGATAAGAACATTCTGCTTTCATTATACCTAGTCTCATAAAATCCCACATTATGGTTTCAGACGGACGTATTTCCCCTACAAGATATCATCATCAAGTGCCAGATCTGTGACAGACATCGGTGATCAGTTCTCCATTCTTTCCTTTCCTCGAATTCTCGAGAAAAAGCTACATTATCTCGATCTTTCATCGTTTCACATCTGTATAGACTCTCACATTATTTGCTTTGAGTCTCCCCTGCCTCATTTGAGAACTTATAAGACATAAGCATCCAAAATATCTAACCCAGGGCAGTTTTAGAAACCGCGGTACTTACCTGGAAATGAGCCGTGACTTCCTCCAGTTCGTGCAGCTCAAAGCCCTTCACCTCCAGAGTCTTGGGCCGGTTGTCCAGGTAGGTGCGACCGACCACAGGCCCCACGCCCCGGCCTCTTCCTCGCACGCCCCACCCCCCGCGACCTCCAGCCCAGCCACGACCTCTGCCATAAGGCGCTGGGGCTGCCTGTGGACAATAATATTTTTAGTTTAGTTTTAGTAGAGGTTTTACGGCGCTCGCAACTGCATAAGGTCATGTGAGCGCCTAGGGGTGGATGTCAACAGAGAAGTCCTTACAGGGAATCAGACTTACTCTGCTCACCTCTCTAGCTTCAACAGCACAAATCTGCTTCGACTATCAAGGCACCCGAGAGCAACAAATCTACCATGACTTACGCTGTCACCTTTTCCACAGTGGTGAAGGCGAGGGTTGTGCACTGTGATCACACTATGTAATAACTCACTGAGAAATTAACACAAAACCTAACGGTATGGCCACAAAAAGTGACACGAGTTGAACTTAACACCTCTCGTCCACCCTTATCTAAGGTAACATATTTACACCGGGCAGCGATAAGAAATATACAGACATCTACATTTCCAATGAGCTAGCCATTTTCCCATACCGTACCGTGAGTCTCCTGCCATTTCATCTACCTACTGGTAAAACAATTGCAATTGTTATCAGATTGAATGAAGTTTTTAATAAAACAATTATGAAGTGAACAAATAGATACGGAAACATTTACTCGCTATGATCGACGAAATAGTTTTAAATATTTAAAACTAAAACTCAAGAAGAAGCCAGTGCTAATGAATTGGACTAATGAATAAGGAAGCATTTACTATTCGCAATGATCGATGAAATATTTAAATAAGAAAATAAAACAAACTCAAGTAGAAAATGTAATAAAATGCGTTTCAGACGAGGCTGTCACTTTGAGGAGATTCCCCTCTGTCCACTGTGTCCTCACCCTGAAGGTACTGACGTCTTCTCCACGCTTTTGCTTGCTCAGGACATCCAGTTCTCTGTCCAGCTGCTCTTTGCGATTCTGTGTGTGTGTGTGTGTGTGTGTGTGTGTGTGTGTGTGTGTGTGTGTGTGTGTGTGTGTGTGTGTAGGGGGGAAAGAGAGGAGATACAATCAGTCTAACAGATCTGGATACATGAGTCTCAGATCAGAGGCAAGCAGTTTAAAAATGCTGGGTGGAATACCAAGAGACTTATAACAGTTTTTTAAGTTGAGATACCGATGTCAGAACTCTAAACAGGGGGACCTAAATGTCAACTAAAGAGAAATTTGCTCTTTAAAAATTGAGATTTAAATATGCCAAGATAAGAATGCAGACTGTGCCGATTTTTAACACATTTTCTGCACTCCTTTACTCAAAAACGTATTCACACGAGTGGCTATGAGGTGTCTTTAGAACACGTAAGCCACAACAAGTGTTGAATGAAGAAAACAAATGTGGACGGTTGGCGGACGCTCAGAAGTGGTCTGCTCCTTCTTTCCTATCAAACATATATCACCCTCATTTCTCCTCCTCTTTTAGTTGTACGTTCCTATCTAGTAACACCTCTAATCTTCGGCACTTATATGAACTGTGTTGCAAATGCCGTAAAACTCTGACTAAAACAAAATGAAGACAAAAAAACCACGCCGACTGACCTGCTCCTGACTGACGTATTTGAACTGTGCAGGTTTGGGAGCCTGATGGGCGCTGGTGGCAGGTTTCTTCGTGCCCGTTCCGTACTTGACTTTGTCGATGGCATCTGATATCGTCCGCAGTGTCTGGAACAGAAGTCATCACATGCGTTATCTCAGTACTCAAATAACTGGCTCTAAAAAAATATATATCTAAACAAACAAACATTAAAAAAACAAACGAAGGATCAGTAAATAAATTTTTTTGAATGTTTAATCCCACCTTTGAAAATAAGCAAGACAACAATGTGATATGAAAAAAAGAAAATTTACAAAAGAAATTAACAAAACTGGGAAACTACAAATCAATACTTTATAAGCTTGTACTGAGACCTCTAAAACTATTCTTAACATGTTGTTACCCGGTACTCAACTACAAACCAAACGACTTAAATGAGAGGGCTTGGCAAAAACATACTTTTGACCAAGCACACATTCTAAAATCCACAAAACAGGAAAAACATTTGTGTGGCATCATGGTGAAATTAGGCCCTTGTCAAAATTATTAAATAAAACAAACATTTTTTACATCTATTGGGCAAGTAATTTCTTTTTTACAAGATTTTTAAAAAAATTATCCTCAACACTTTTTTGTCTATTTGAAAACACATTCTGTGTGGATTGTTTTAAAAAATAATGAAAAGCACAAAAAAAGTAAATTTGCAGTTGCCAAGGACACATAAGATTTGGAAGTCAGCAAATTTTGGCGACCATGTTCTTGCCTATTTTCCCTCTGACACCAGGCAACCCCTAGTCTCTTCAAATGCAAGTTTCTCTACTTCTATTTGAGTTTGATTCGTATTTTTTTCACTAAAAGAAAGACAAATGAACAAGCTTTCAGATAACACCAATAACTCCATAGGCCTAAAAACTCACCGGCACCCCGATTGCAATGCATCATGAAACATATATGGACATTTACCTGTAGCATGCTCTTTTTCTCCGTTTCACTCATTGTCGCTTTCTTTTTGTCCAAAGCATCCAGCAAGACCTGCAGACATGAGTGAGGTAGTGAGCTTTATGTTACAACAATATGGGGAAAAAATATCTGGGACTTTCATATGAACAAAATTGACCATCTATACAACGAATTAATAATAATAATAATAATAATAATATTTGTATTTGTATAGCAAAATTCTATGCGCTTTGCAACTAATAAATACTACCACAACAGACCCAGAACACCCCGACACATTCTTGGCTTCCCGTGAAGTATACAGTGCAAATGGCCGACTAAACGCTCAAACACAAACAAACTAACAAGATGTTTCGACGCTTTCCCCGGGTACCCACTCCCACCATGGGGAAGTCGGGTAAATTCGTGAAAAGTGCCTTCCCAAAGAACAAAAAAGTGGGCTGAGCAGAGCCTCAAAGCCCAGAACCTGCTACCTCCCGAACACAACTCCCGTGGCCTAATCACGAGACTACTGACGCAATGAACAAGTACAAAATAATAAGTAGCTGTGAAGTACTGTCCACAAAACATTTCACTAGGAGAACCTGCTTACATACCATTTCTTACTCCTCCCAGAGACAAAAGCATGTTGCCAAACAAATAAGATGACAATAACTTTTGTAATCCAGATTGTTATGGGCATATGGGCAATTCAAATTGCCAAACATTCTATAGCTTAAAAATTTGCATATTTGTTGTGCTGTATTCAGCCCACAAAAAAAACAACAACGCCACAATAAATATTTCAGCACTACTTTTCCCAATTCAACTCATCAACCAGTTACGATGTTTCCATGAGGTACCAACACAGTTTATTCAACAGTACAACAAACCTTCTGGTGCTGAATTTGTTTGGCGAGCAATTCTTGTCGTTTTTGATCCAACTCAGCCTGTTTCACAGTGGCCACCTGAAAAATTTTTAATTTTCAAATTATAAATGTGAAGAAAACACAACCAGTAATCACAAGAGATTGTTTTAAAAAAGTAAGCTTAACCATTGGCAGGAGGGCAGGATCCTTGATGGGGCATATATTTCATGGCACTAGATTAACACTGTAAAAACTTGATCTGCAGCTTCCGTATAAACAGCACAAAAAAACTTCCAAGAGATAATAGTAATACACAAAAAAACCCACAATTAAACCATACACAACTCTTATTTATTTGTTTTCGTAGGTGTTTTACAGCACTGATCTGCACCTGAATAAGACATAACTCTTAGGAAAGACAGAGGAAAGAGTTATCTCAACAAAAAAAAGGAAGAAAGACATCTGTTAATACAAAATCCAGCCAAGGGCTATCATAAAATCAGTGCAGGCAAGAGACACTAGAAACAGCCATCTCAAAAGAATATACATAAGAAACACGAGAAAAAAAGAACTAACCATCCAGAAAGATAGGAAAAGGCAAAGTTTAGAGAATATAAACAAGAATAAACACTGAATGGGCAATCTCTACAGAAAAAAACAACAGCATAAACAAACAATATACACAAGAATAAACACATGAAGGACAATCTCTAGAAAAACAAACCACCAAACCCACCTTCTCGTCCTCTTCAGCTCTCTTGCAATCATCACAAGAGCAGACACTGGATCGCTAACAACAACACAAGAGCAGACACACAAAGGGCAATCTCTACAGGAATAAACACATAAACAAACATTCTCCACATTCTTGTCCACTAGAGTAAACACATAAAGGACAATCTCTACAGAAAACAAACAAACAAAACCATCAAACAATCCCCACCTTCTTCTCCTCCTCAGCTCTCTTGATGGCCTCCATCCTGGACACGTAGTCGGCTGTCTTCACAGCGGTGGGGCTGATGAAAGGAGCCGGCCCTTTAGCGGCCGCTGCGGTAGGACTGGTGGGGGACGGGACGGCTGCCGATGGGTTAAACACCGTCTTCTTCAGGTTCCCCACCGATGAGGTGTACACAATCGACTGGGAGAAGGAAGAAAAATAAAAAGGTTTATATGAGCAGCTTTCGTTGACTTGAAGTATGCAGGAAACCTGCACAGTCAGTCATAATTATTTCAAGTTCCCAATTTCTTTTCAGGAAATGCAATCTGCAATGGTATGGACACATCACCCGTTCATCTGGCCTTGCCAAGATGATCCTGCAAGGTAACGTCCAGGGAAAAAGGAGCACAGGGAGACTTGTTTTGTTTTTAGTAGATATTTTACAGCACTCGCAACTGCATACGGTCATATGAGCGCCAAGGGGTGGATGTCAACAGAGAAGTCCTTACAGGGAATCAGACTTGCTCTGCTCACCTCTCTAGCTTCAACAGCACAAAGTCTGCTTCGACTATCAAGGCACCCCGGAAAAAGCGGGTCAAAACAGAGTGACAAACATACAAAAGAAGTAGAAGAAAATAACGATAACAAGGATTAGGAAAGACAGAGTAACAGTTCCCCCTATATGTTGTTCCGGCACAATATTTGCATAACATTAATAGATCAGCCCATTTACAATTCTAGTGTGCATAAGAATATGTTAATATCCCCTCTTTGGGAATGGCCTAAAGACACTTTAGCCAGTAGCACAGCCCTAGGGGGATAGAAAGGGTCTGGTGTCAAAAGGACAAAATATTTTCGGCTGTACAAAGAACTGAGGCCCAACCTTTTCGGCGGGGGCAGAGGTAGGTGTGGCCATGTCTCCAGCAGCTGTGAGAGAAGCCGGCTCAGCCTTGGGCTTGGTGTTGTCCAGCTGCAGCTTGTGGGCCGGCGGGATTGTGGGGCGCACCGGCAGCATCAAGGACGGGTGGTCAATCTGTGGGGGAATGTGTGTTTTAGTAAGTGTGTTACGGCACTTGCAACACAATAAGGTCATGCAAGTGCTGAAGATTAGAGGTGTTACAAGAGAGTAACAGACACAAAAAAGGAGGACAGATCAGGACGATAGATGTTTGATAGGAAAGAAGAAGAAAACCACACCAGAGCACCCACCAACCACCCACAATCTGTGGGAAAATGGACAGTAAATTCAACTTTCACAAGTGCACTTATACTGTATAACACGGATAGGTCGAACACAGAGGACTCGAAATCACACATCTGTCAAACTGTGCCTGCTGTCCCAGGTTTTTTCTCTTTATCTTTGTAAGAAATCCATCGAAATACGAATCCATCGAAATACGAATCCCTCGAACTACAGAGGCCTGTCCCGACGAATTCGAGCTATCCATGTTAAATTGTATGTATTCTCTGTGCATCTTCTCTCCCCCACACCCACCCCACCCCCTCTCTTTTTTTTGGAAAAGACAAACAACATCAAATGCCTGGTTCAAAGTGAGGTGTAAGACATGATCATTAAAAGTTCAATCCAGCATTCACTTTCACAAATCCACAACACATATGCAACAAAGGCAGTGATTGCACAGTTAAAGGAAGAGGGTGGGGGGGGGGGAAAGACGTGAATGATAGCCGGTCAGTTTTATAAACCACGAGCGGCCACTGCTCAGAACCATGTTGTTGTTGTTGTTGCTGTTCACGATATTTCGTTTCAAGCAGTTTCATAATAATTATTCCCCTTAGACGTAAACCTCAAGCTAGACGCATGCCTGAGAATCAAACTCGGTGAGAGTCAAGTTTTTCTTGGTATGCCTGACTGACATTAATATATTTTTTTTACTTTTCTTCCGGTGTACCAGCAGAGGACCCGGGGACCAAATGCTCTGCCCTTATTCAAATGATTTGCTTTTGTAAAACTTTTTTCAACCCTCGAAATATCGCTCGTCAGCTCAGTTTCACCACTTTCATTCTTGTTGCACTCAATCAAACTAATTATATTGAACTGATAACGATGTAGCAAGTCTTGGCACTCTCCTATAGCAAAAACTTGTGACCTTTCTGTCCTCTAAATTCAATCGGGTCGGGTTTCGAAATGTACTTTTGGTGAGTCAGTTATAGTAACTGACAATATCCCCCCTCCCTCTTCACCTCCACCTCCACGCTGATCCCACAGTCATCTGTTTGATTCCCGTTGTGCTTAAGTGAGCGCCATATTGAAGCCCCCTGCAGAGTGTGTTACCTAACTCGTTAAGTCCGCTAATTAAAGCCAATGTAATTATGTCCTCCTTATATGACGAAGTCCATGTTCTAGGTGCCAGTAGCCACGTGACTGTGTTTTACTTTTAAAGAGTGTGGACGTCCTAATTGGCATTAAGACATATACCCGCAACATTACATATTATGATGAAGATTAGCAAACAACAATGCTAATTTGTGGGAAAGAAATTATACGGTGACGATTAATCAACAGTGCAAACGCGAGGATCGATACCCGCGTAGGATAATTAAAACCTTCCTGTTGGCGAAAAAAATCCCTCCTTGCTTAGAGATTTGACCGGTGTAGCGTTTGTGCCAGTGTCAGCGAAAGGCGCACTGATGGACTACCCTGACAGTTCACCACAACGCCCTGGAGGGCTCTCGTCACGTCACAAGTTCTCTCCAAGCCGCTCGTGTGTTGACATAAGTAATAGCCACAAGAACTGTTAGCTCGTTCTGACGTCGATTGCTTCCAGCAACATTGGTGACGCCGCTGCGCATTTCGTTTGTTTGTCAAGTTTTTGCTAGCGCGCAGTAAGATTGGTAAGCCGGTGACATGCTCTGGAACTAATGAGGAAGCATTTGGTCGGCGAAAAAAAAAAAACTCTTGCATTACGATCGCGGAATGGTTTTCGTTGTAACTGAAGCGAAATGGTGGAATTAAAGTTCTACTAGCAATTCGTACATCTCTACTCTCCTTCTTCTGTTTCTATTTGTCTGTCGTATTCTTTCTCAGTTACAAATCACTTTTAGCGTGACCGTAATATTTTCTTAAACTAAAGTTAGGGGCGGCTGAATGGAACTTCAAACCTCAGCAGCTCTCCCGTTTGAATCAGTTTGAAGTTTGGTTTTGTTTGAGGGGGGGGGGTAGGATTTTTAGGGAAAAAAGAGCTGCCACTGCATATTGCGCCAGCAAAAGTGGCAGGTATATGGGGCGTGTTGCTCAATTTGTTGAATGTCAAATTAGGCTTTTGTAAAGCTAGAGACAGGTCGTTCACCGCTGCCACAGTTTATTCGACGAATCAGAGCTACAGGGTTCGTATCTCTGACGACCACCCAGGCCCCAGGTCTGAACCAGGGCACTGACCGACCGGTTAGGGGATTTATTGGAGGGCAAAACTCCACACTGTAAACCCGTAACCTATCAGAGTATTTTCTGATCAATCTAGCTAATTGTGTAATTCTATTAGACCAACCGAATCTTCAGATTAATCTATTATTTTTGGTAGATGAAAGTTAGGGTAATTCTACATGCAAATATTAGGATAATATGATATTATCGTAATTGGGGGGGGGGGGAATAGTACAAAAATATATCATGCGGCCCCACGCGAAAGTTAACGCTTTTGACACTGCTGGACAGCGATGTTACTTTCCATGTTCTTAATCCGGACGCTTTTGTTGTAAAGCGCATAGAGAGCATGCTGTAGAGCGTGGATATATGCGCTCTATACATGCAACTAATTATTATTGTTATTATTTTGTCAATGGGCGCCAGGGTATTTCCAATAGTACCATAATGAACTATACTGTTGTTGACTCTGGGAGTCCCACCATTAGAACGCTTTCGAACCTTTTAAGGAAGTCCCAAGGACCTTACTGTAAAACCTCCTCGGGAAGTCCCCCGCATGGGTCGGTAATATCGGAGACTGACGTCACCCACTGCACGCTGCCAATCGCATTCATCAGTTGGAGTCACGGTCAGTCAGATTGTCTGTCATGGATGGGGCAAAAGCTACCATTTTTAAAGAGACCACCATTTATTGGTCCATAAAGAAAAACTTTGTAGTTACTGTTTCAAACGTGATTCTCCTACTAGAGCGAGAGATACGAGAAAGAGAGAGAGAGGGGGG